TGCTAGAACAAGTGCAGCATTATATCCAGAGGACTGAGCTTCATGCAGTTTAAATATTAACCCTTTGACTGTTTCAGACGTATATCTACTCAATTCTAGCGGCTTCAAATCAAGCAGGAGAAAGCTGGTAGGCCCACATGTGAGAGAATGGGTCTGTGTGGTCAGTGTGCACTGTATAAAAAAAATCCTACAGCACGCAGTGCATAATAAGAAAAAAAAAAACTTCGACCGTATTTCTGGATTAAAACGCCGAATTCGAGGTGTATTTTAGTATAGTATTTATGGTTGTATTCTCATTTTCTTGGTCTCTTTTGATAGAATGAAAAACATATTACAGAAATAGTTTCATGATAAAAACAACCTTGAAATTGAGCTCAAAGTAGAGGAAATGTTTGATTTTTACCCATGTTCAACAGTAAGCAAATCACACCACATGTCCAATACACGTCAACTGGGGAGTCTAATATTCTTTCACTAGTGCACTGATATTATTTATATCATTTTTACAATAATGCAGTAGTCTGCATAACAGTAAATCTTCTATTTTTTTGTGTGAATAAAAAATCAAAATAGGAAGCAAGAGTAATATAAGAGGGGCCTGGAGACATGACTAATGAACAGAGGATATGTTATTTTAATGCCAAGAATATCTGCATTATTTATTCTGGACCCTATTTTGAAATTGGCATCTTTTTTAATTTGCATGAAATTGACCAAATTGCCAATTTCTGACCACTTTATTGGGTAGTTGAAATCGGTAAATGGGCAGTTTCTTGTACTCAATTGATAGAAAAAATGGAGTTCTAAAGAAATAGCTATGAGTTTAGTCGACTGGAACAATGGAATTGGCCAAAAATAGGGCTCTAAGTGGGCGAAATTGCCGATGGCTATATATTGCCGAGATTGCTAACTTTGCGGGAGCGTAATTCCATAAGTTTTTGATCAGATTTCGTACTTTTGGTGTCATTACCATCAGGAAACGATTCTCTATCATTTCATAAGAAAAAGTAATTTTTTTTTTTCTCCAAAAATTTTGCGACATAGAATGACAGTTTCAGAAATGGGCTTGCGACAGTCAAAGGGTTAATTACTCTGTAATGACCAGGTACCTCCAAAACTTAATGTAATATTAATCTCATGTTTCTGGACAGTCATATCTACTTAATAATCTCTCTTCATAGCAAACAGAATCACACAGAATTGGGGTAACAATCTTATGCATAGTGTACAGTGAATTTATATCATTGGTTTATGATTAGCAAGAGACTAAAACTAACTTCCACATTTCATGAATTCTTTATACTCATTTACAGTAGACCCCTGACTTAGGAACATCTGAGTTACAAACAGCTGCACTTACTAATCTGCAGATAAGAACATTGCCAACATTCAAACAGAAATTTTCAGTTAATTCTCTTTTCAGTTAATGTTTCACCAAATACTTTCATATTTTGCGTATATTCATTTTATACATATGAGGACTAATTTGTTTGAGAGAGATTGGTTAAGAACTATATTTAAAAATGAATATGTACCATATTATTTTTCTTATTTTCTTACCAATGGCATTGACATTTTGTGTATGTTCATTTTGTGCATGAGTGTTGAGTATAGATAATTGGAGAAAAGGGGACTCATTAGAGTAACATACATTTTTTTTAATTTTCATTATTAAGAAATAAATATAATTAGACACAGAATATTATGGTTCAGGATTGCATCTCCAATGATAACATGAGTTTCGAGTTACAACTAATTGAGTTTGAATAATTTCTAGGAGCCCATCTAGTTTGTAAATTGTGATTGTACTGTATGCTGCTTATTCATTACATATTATGTACAAGCTCATCAACATAGTACATTGTTTGCATGTTAAAGAAGGGGAAAGTACCCAAGGATTGGCAGTGAGTATTTGTGACTCCTTTATATAGTGGAAAGAGAGTGCCTATAAGTTATAGGGAAGTAAGTGTGTTATGCATATCAGGTAAAGTGTTTGGCAGTATTGTAGTTGTTAATGATTGGAAATGCAGCAAAAAATAGATGTTTGGGTCAACTGTATAAGCTGAATCATGCAATTGTTCAGTACTTGGAAAAAATGTATTTGTTGGGACTGTACTATTAATCTGCATTTTTGAGAGAGAACTTCAGATGCCATTTTGGTCCATTATGGATCATTGCCAAGTCATGATTTTTTAATGACTTGACAGTGGTCCAGGACCGACGGAAATGTTCTTTAAAGTTTCCTTTCCAAATGGTGGCTAAATAAGAAACTATTTTTTGCATACAGTATATGTATTTGGAAAGGCAGTATGAAAGGACAGTGAGGATTGCTATTTATGTTACAAATACAGTATATGGAATAGGTGGTAAATTGTTAAAAGTTTCAGACAGTTTTTATGAAGTGTCTGAAAAGCACTTGATTCCTCCATGGGTGTTCATCAGTATTGTATATAATTATGGTTGTTAGATAAATGATTGTTAATATATGAGGTAGTTGTGATTATAAATGATAATGGGTCTCCTATTAAGTGGTAGCTCTCACAGTTGCTGTTTGCAGATGTCTCACAGTTAAAGGAGTTAGTACAGGAGTTTGGAAGGATGTGTGTACGAAGCCAGATAAAACAATATAAGAGAAAGGAAGACGATAAGAATAAAAAGTATGGAGGAGAGGATCAGAATAAGTATTTAAAGTAGGGAGTGTTGACACATCTTTAAGTAGAATATTTATTTAATATTGCTATAAAGAAAGGCTTGAGACAGTAGAAATGTCTAGTCTAAGATCAGTATATGGTATAAATGTTATGCACAGGAGGCACCAAGAAATTTACCATTGTTGTTGTATATCAGGTATAACTCAAAGAACCACAGAGATGCTAATGAAATATATCAGTCTTGTGGAAAGATAGGCTGGTAAAGGCGTGTAAATCTGGGGTGGATGAAAGGAAATATAGAAGACATTTAAGAAAGAGCTGCAAAAATGAGGCATGAGAGGCAATCAGAGAGAGAAGTTTGAATATCCAAATGTGTTAGGGTGCACTTTAAAAGTAGAGTAGGAAAATAAAGGCTCATTGGATTACCATTGAACTGTAACACCTGTGCCTTATGTGGAAAACAGTCAGCAAGTTCATCTAAGCTGTCATATCTGAGCTCCTCTGCAAAGACAGTAATTATGTATGAGTGATGGTGAAAGTGTTGAATGATTATGAAAGTTTTTTCTTTTTTTTTGGGGTCACCCTGCCTCGGTGGGAAACAGCCAACATGCTAAAAAAAAAAAAAAAAAAAATTATTGTGTTAGGGTATACACTATTTCTACTGATGTTTATGGTACAAGAGAGGCAAAATCATACCTGCAATACACATACAATATCACTTTTTTTTTTTTTTTTTTTTTTTTTTAATTCATCTTCATTTTGGGTGCAGCTAATTAAAACAACTAAGAATTTCATTTTTTCTTTACACACCTGAAACTTAATAAATAATAATTTCTCTTGTGATGCTTGACACTTGCATATATCATTTTCTTAGGTTTACCACATTTGTTGGATCTTGTTGGTGAATACTGTAGCACTTGTTGATGATAATGCTTTGATGCCCAGTCCTTGAAGCAAATGTTTAGACTCATATTCACAATGTTGTACAAACAGCAGTCTGTCTTCTGCTCTTTAACTGTGTGATTATTTAATGTTACTGTCATATTCAAAAATGAGTGATAAACCCACATGGGTCATATGCACTTTGTGGTCAAGCCAATCTATCCCACTTCTGAAGACATTGTAGATGTTAATTCTGATTTTGTTTTAGTTATTTTTCTTAATTATGTTACATTAACACTAAGCTCAATATTATTATTTAAAATGTATTAATTCTTTATTATTATTATTATACAATTTACTGTATAGTATATACAGTACAGTAATCTGTTACCTGTCAGAGGATTCATTTACTGTTCAAAGTACTGTATTAGCAATATTCATCAGAAAAATCTCATTAACTATATTCACTTTTGTAGTGTAGAGTAGAAATTATTTTTTTCATGTGCCAACAGATTGATTATAGGCACAGTAAAAGGTGGACCAAAGCACAGAAAGGAAAACAATATTTTCTACTGTGGGAAGTACCATTGTAATGTTTTCTGTTAATATGAACTAAATAATTAACATCGTAAAGGAATGTTCAGTATTCTTTTGTATTTAATTTCAACCATGAGGTTGCATATAATTTAAAGCATGTGTTTTGATTAGTCTGTACTTGAGTATAATCACTTTGTACAGTATAAGGTTTATGAGTGACATTTGCTTGCAGCATCTTGACTGTGAAGTATGCACAGCATCATGTAATATGCAGAGTGCTTTACTTGTGTCATTTACTGACACCTTTTAGTATTTGTAGTCAGTAATGCACTTGCACCCTTTCACAAGTATTCAGTGTAGCACAGTACCAATGTTAAATAATAAATTTCTGGAGCACTACATTAATTCTTCAATTATATCAGAATTGTCAGCTGTTCAGCAGTGTAATTCTTGGGATGAGCAGGATTGACAGACTATAATTTTTCTGTAGATGTCAATGTTTATAATTTTATGGCATGTAACTTATAATATGCTGAATCATAATTTTAATTTGTGAAATTATGTATTATTAATATTTGTTGCTAACTTGCATGCATGCTGAGAGTAACTAAATATTTTTCTTGTGTTTGCATTTCACTTTTTTGTTTCTGTTAGTTAGGTATTTAAAGGATATCATAGTTTTTGCTTGTATCTTAATACTGCATATTTTCACCAATATTATTTACTTTATTTATATTTATATATATATACCTTTAGTATGCATTAGTTAAAAAATTAAATAGTTGTAATATTCATTGTAATTTTGTTTTTATCACAAAGACTGAAGTTGAATTTCTTTATTACTTATTTATTTTTAATTGAGAAATGCTAATGTCAGTAAGTGTTTTAAATATATAATGTAAATTTTAAGAACAATCACTTTTCCACCAGATCGAGCATGGTTGAGAAGCAGCGTCTAGATGCAGCCAATAAGAAATATGACCTTAGCAAGTGGAAGTATGCAGAACTACGAGATACAATTAATACCTCATGTGATCTTGAGCTGTTAGAGGTATTATGGTCAATATATTCTTTATATTGTTAGTCAGGAGCCATCTAGAGATGTATTGTTCTGTCATATGAGAAGGAAATAAAAGCCTCTTGTAAACATGTAAGACGACACACAGTTTAGTTTTAAACATTCAAAATTGGTATTTTAATGGAAGGTTGAAATTAGTTTTGGGTTGTGTATGTCCTAATTTGCCATTTTTCTTGAAAAAATTGGGATATTTGTTTCCATGTAATAGCCCCTCCTTCAGAGTGCCTGTTATCAGGAGACAGCTAGCATTAAAAAAATGCTTTTAAACATCTCTTATGAGATAAAAAAACATGTGCTGTACTCTGCACCATTGCTGTCATGTGCATCGAGGCACAAATGACTGGGTTTAGGCAATACCCGGATACCTTTCTTGGCTCATGCAGCAACCAAAATACCTGTACAGTACATCTAGTTAGCTTAATTTTGCTGTGATATTGATGCAAGTAACTTACTTTTGTCTCTTAAGGCTTGTCGAAGTGAATTCCATCGTCGATTGAAGGTTTACCATGCCTGGAAAGCCAAGAATAAGAAGCGTACTACTATGGAAGAAAATCAGCGTGCTCCAAAATCTGTCCTTGATGCAGGTACCAGACTGTCTTTTACTTTAATTCCTTACTTGTACAAAACTAATGTTAATTTTTTTAAAAGTGAGTGTTTAATGTTAATAAATTTTGTTTTTATGTCTTGTGAAGTTTTCTTTTTTAAGTTTTAAAGCATAACTTGACTTTTTGTTGGAGACTGTCCATTTTTAATTGTAATGTATTTAATTTTATAAAATACACATTCATTTCTCTCAGTTTGTCTTTAAGTTCAATAAATACAAGTTCATACAAAGCTATATAGTATATACAAAACACATATTCAGTTTGCTCTATATTTTTGCTGTTAGGTTATGCCAAGCAAGCTTATTTTATATTAGGTTTGAACAAAAATTTTAAACTAAAATATTTTACTACCTTATCCTTACCTGTGGAAGATGGATCTTAGCATAAAATTGAATTGCTGATTTTTTCGTTGAAAAGCATACCAGGTGACATACGTAACAGAAAAGGGGCAAGTCTGCCGTGTTGTTGGTTACATAAAGAAAGGTATTATAAAATGTATGCATTGTTCAGTGATAAAGTAGTGTGGCAAGTCCTTTGTAATGTTTCAAAATAAGGTATTGCTTCTTTTGAAAATTCTCTTGTGAGCTTTTATTAGTCTTCACAATGTATAATGCTTTGATTTTTTTTTAAACACTGGCTGTCACCCACCAAGGTAGAATGACGTGAAAAAGAAACACTTTCCCCATCATTCCCTCACATCACACATCCCTGTCTGAGTTGTACTTTGACTAGGAAATAGTCCCCCTTCTTCCTACATACCCTAACTTGAACCTCACTATCCATCTACAAACTCTTTATTGGTTTTAGTAACCTACCACCTGTTTCAGTGCTAGGGGCTACATTCGGTAGGCTTGTATGCATCCATTAAATCATTGTGAGTGGAGGCAGATAGGTTTCGTGATTTGTGCTGCAGTTTCCTGAATTAAGCCTGAATGCCTTCCACATCTACTCCCACAGGCACTGTATAATCCTACAGGTTTAGTGCTTCCCCTTGATTATAATGATAATAATCAAGGTGGGTATATAATGTATATCCATTCTGTTAGTGTGTGTGTACAAGGCAACATTTATGAAGGGACTAAGAGAAACCGGTTAGCCATACTTGAATCCTGGAGGTAAAGAGTAGGAGTGGAGATGTTGCAGTCAGAAAATAATCTGAATTGTAATGTCAGCACACTCCTAGCAAGATAGCGACTGAATGAATGATGGTGAATGTGTTTTTGTTGTTGGGTTACCCTGCCTTTTTATACCAGTTACACAAGAAACAAAAAGTTTACCTTATTATTTTTAATTTTCTGTCATTTTTCTCGAGCAACAATTTGCTATTGGTATTGGTTGTACCACAATGACTTTTAAGTTTCAGAAAGGGTAACTTTAATTTTGCCCTTAACAATTTTTTTTTTCTGAAGATGAATATGTGTTTGCATTAAAAAAGTTTAATTGCCTTCTGCTGTGTTCAATGCTTGCTGTATTTATTTTGTCTTCCACATTGCATTTGTTAACATTTCTTTTATATACCACATTTTTTCTTTCATATTTTACACTTCCAGTCAAGTGCTATAAGCTCACTGCTAATATTTTTGACAGCCAAGGCCAACCCACCCCGTGTTACACCCAAGGTAAGCCCCCCAGGAAGTACCAACAGCCAACGATATTTCCGAATACCCTTTGTGCGACCAAGTGATCAGCATCGTGGTGAACAGCAGCAGAAGGGCTGGTAGGTTCTGTTGATTCATTAACAGTTGCCATTGCAACTTATCTTGTGTTTTATATATAATATGAGCACTGTTAACATAAATGGTTGTTTTTCCTTAGCTTTCATATGTTCAAAAGTATACAGTATATTTACATAGAATCCCACACATTTTCCTTCTGTTTGTCTTATTGATTTGGCTTTTCCTTTCCTAATGATTTAATTGACTTGCTGCAAAGTTAACCAGGCTCTTCCATATGAAAATTCTGACAGCACTGTTCCCAGTGGAAAAACTTAAAAAATTATTTTCAGCACATTATACTACATACAACCTTTGAAAAGTTCATAATATGCTCATTATTTCAAATATTTAAGAAAAATTACAGTACTAGCTTCTAGGGTTTTGCCATAGTATAGGTATTAGTGAAAAAGTTGCTGATACCAGCCAATACTTTTAAAATATTAATATTATACATGTGCTGTAAAATAGCAAAATTAACACTGCCTCACTACATGCTTAAGTTTAATATAGCTAAAGTGAGACCAGTGTAGTCTGAGACCAAAAGATACAATATATATTAGAGCATCTCCCTGATTTCATCAGTTTAACTTGCTCTCATGATAAAATGTCTTTTTCCTCTCTTAAACTCATTTCTCCGGCAAAGATACTTATACCTTGTAGGCAGACTTCTTTTTTTATTGGAAGGAAGATATTTTTACTACAAACGGCAATCTCCCAATCTCCCAACAAGGGAACATTCTAATCATTCAGTAGCACAAACATTGCAACTCAAATGGCCTTCTGAACTTCAACATCCCTACCCATCCTTCAGAATGCAAGCATTGTATTTCCCACCTCCAAGACAGATTATGGGCTCCATGTCTTAGTTGCCCCTGGCTGAGACTTGCCATTTTAACATAGCTACACTATGGTAGTTGACTAAAAGCTGCTGCCATGTGTTTACCATGCATTAATTTCCTGTACACCTTCTTGGAAATGAACATTAAATAAAAGTGAAGTGATGATCATGCCACGTACACACAAACTGTTCCCTGGACCTGCCCTTTCTGCTGATGTTCTCCCTCAGCACTCCCACTTCCACTCTCTCTTCCCATCATCTTTCATTGGCCTTCCCTGTTGGCCACTCCCACTGTGTTGGTTGATTACTTTCAAACAGATACTGCTTAAAATAAGTAGAATTGATGTATTACATTGCTGTTTGCTGCAACACCAGATGTAAAATATTCTTCTGTATGTAACTTTGCTTATGCTTTTTTCTTCTTCAAAGGTTTTTTCATTAAAATATATATTGATCATTTTTGTAATAAATTAAAATTTGAAAATGTTTCATGTAAAGAATGTTGTAAATTTTATGTTATAATTTGCATACTTCTCTAATAACTAGTTAGTACAGTGACACGAGTCAATGATTTACATGTAGTACTACAATGGAAATGATTATGAACCATTTGATGAAATTTCACATTAAACAGTACAGTCATTTCTCTTTTTAAGACTTTCCAACATAAGAATTTCCAGACTTAAGATCCCATTAAATTAATACCAATGTTTCTACCTATTCATTTTGCACATTTATAACTTGAATTTTAGGCCAGAATTTCTCAGTGATCCAGTATATTGTTAATTCTTAGGAATCCATTAGTTGCCCAACACTACATTCCTGCAGTAATTTTACTGCTAGTCCACATCCACAATGTCAGGTCACTAAGTAAGCAGTAAAGTAACAAGCTAAGTGTCCTGTACTACATGTAGGCTTCTAATTTTTGATGAAATGTTAATTTATTTATAAACTTTTCAATGCTTTGGGAGCTAGAATCACAACTTTTAGTCATTCATATCATAATGCTCTGGCAGTTTAATCATAAATAGTAATGACTCGTTGTAAAATATTGCCTAATTAACTTCTTTATAATACAGCCTCTCCTCACTTAGCAATGTACTCGTTTACTGATGACTCGGACTTACGATGGGCTCTCTGACCAGCATGCATACCTAAATAATGTATATTAGAGCGGATTTCCGCAATTTTGTTTATTACAATATACATGTACAGTACACTGCTGTATAAACGTTTAAAAATATACCAGAAATGTTATAAATGGTGCAAAGATGACATTAAAACAATATCAAGATGGCTGGCACAAACCCACTACCATTATAGTATGCTCCTCACTTAGCGACAAATTTGTTTACCGATGTCATCTTAGGAACAGAACTCTGTCATTGAGTAAGGAGAGGCTGTACTGTATTTTTTATATTTTAAATGTTTAACACTTATATTTTCTGTCATTTTGTTGATTATATAATAACAATAGAAGTACAGCATTATAGGGGGTTTAATGATTGGAAAATAAATCTTACCTTGGAGATCCAAGAAAAAAAACCCATATTTCCCATGTTAATGAACTTTGCAATATTTCTTGATTTAGTAAAAATTCATCAAATGGGTCTTTAGGGTTTATATATCATCCTTGAATTTTCAAAGTCTTTTGTAGGTGTACATGTATATGTTATATGATTTAATGATTGTAAAGAACATGTGGTTTTATCAAGCTGTAGATTGTGTTATATAGAGGTCTTTGTTATAAAGGGGAAACTGACTGTCCAACAGGTGGTATGCTCATTTTGATGGTGATTGGATTGCTCGTCAGATGGAGTTACACCCTGACAAACCACCAATTTTACTTGTGGCAGGTAAGTTCAGGGGTTGTGGGTTTTTATTATTTTAACATTTTTTCTTTCAGGCACACACTACTTGCAAATAGAGACCAGTACACAGTGCCTACACCCGTTTTCCAGGGTTGAAAATATGTATAATTACTGTATAAATGAATTATTACCTAAGTACCTGTTTGTCTCTTTACTACAATACTCTCGCTCACTCGTTCTTCTAAAAATTTTTTTTTTTCACGCATTTTATGGGGAGGTTTTCAATAAACATTAGAGCATGATTTTCTATGAACTGCTTGTGTTTTTCATTTAGTAGCAAAAACAATTTTTCACACAAAATTCCACAACAATTTAACTTATATATGAGGTGCTGTGTAAAAGTTCCTGACTCAAATTTTTGTGCACTTCATGGGTGAAATATGGCGGCTGCATAGATCATGTTATGTAATACACTCCTTTGTGAAGTAGCACAGCACATTTCAGTGTGGTCAGTCATTCTGTTAAGGTTAGATGGGCATTTTTTGTCGTGTTATCAATGTGTTGCTATTATGAAACAATGACATCTTTAAAAGAAAGAATGGAGTGTGTGTGAAATTCTGTTTCAAGCTCGGTGAAACAGCTAGTAAACTCAAAAAATCCTTCAGCAAGGATTTAGCGACAAAGAAATGGGTTGGATAATATTTTGTACGGTTTTCCTCGATTCAGAGCAAGATGAACGTCAGTTGAGCATGATGAATGATCTGATCATCTAACATCAGAAACAAACACCAGCATTGAAAAAGTGAGGAAGGCTGTTTGCGAAGATCGTCATAAGAGTATCCAGAGCATTGCAAGTGCTGTTGGAATTTATTATATCAAAGCATTTTGACTGAAAATTTGATCGTGATACAAGCAGCTGTGAAAATTGTGCCTCCATTTGCTGGCTTAAGACCAGAAAAATATTTGTGTTCTTGCCAAAAACAGCATGCCGGTTTTCCCCCACCCTCCCTACTCCCCACATCTAGACCCCTGTGACTTCTTTCTCTTCCCAAAAATAAAAATGGCATTCAAGGGGTGGCATTTTATTGATATGGAGGAGGTTCAGGCATAATGGCAGGCCACTCTAAATACTATTAGGAAATGTTTTAAGATGTGACAGAAGTGTTGTGATCAGTGTATAGTCTCTCAAGGAGAGTACTTCAAGGAAGACACCTTCAACTAGGTGATAGGGTAACCCTATACTTTTGTCATGGCAGTCTAGGAACTTTCTGATAGCACCTCATACCCCAATACAAGAATATTTCTATATGCTTCAGTTTTGACTGTTTCTAATGAATATGCACTGTGCAATCACTTGAGTTTGTGGTGTGTGTGGAATGCTTCAAAACAAGATAAGGCACAGTAGTGTCTCAAGACATAGATGTATCTTGTATCTTTGCATTGTAGAGGTCTTCTTGTGGTGTGAGCACACACATCTCTGAACCTTTATCTCTTTCAGTAGGAGGAATTAGTGCTATTTAAGGATTGTGATTACCAGGCTGCAAATGAGATAGAATTTGTCAATGCAGCAATAGTGTTATGCTCGAGTTGTGGGTTGGCATTGTTTGAAGAATTATTATAGCCATTCAATTCACTACCATTCATCTCCAACTCATTGAACTCCACATCAGAATCATTATTCTCACAGATAATGCCTATATTTGTTAACAGTAAGTGGTTAATTGAGGTGAGAGTAAGGGATTCACGCCTGGAAGCCATGGTTGACAAACGCCATGAGGGTAACTGTTCCCATCATGCTGTGTGTGGGGGCAGGAATTTATGTATGCAGCACACATACACCCATTGCAAAGACCTATTCTCTTACGTTTAAGCCTAATTTTCCCCAATGCATGGTAAATTTAAAGGCACTATGAATTGTGTGTGCTAGTGCATCACCACTATTAACCTGGACAAACTGGTACATCACCACTATAAACCACTTAGACAAACTGGTATATCAACACCAGCTTAGTGCTAAATCAGTCTGTTTAGAAAATATTTAATTTCATTTTACGGCTCTAAAACTTTAAATACCTTAGATTACTATTATGATACATTTCAGTTTTTATTTAGGCTATGCTGACCCTTGTGGGTTTAGTGCTTGGTTATGATTATAATAATAATTAGGGTTTTTCACATTCAGTATTCTAGCCCTTTCTACATTAGAAATTTCAGTTAGATCTTATGACAGTGTTACAATTTTTTGTTACAAGTTGAGCACTGAACCTAAAATTTGTATGCAGAAGTTGCAAGTGTGATAACAAGAGTTACTTATTGTACTTCATTCTCTTGAATGCAAGAAATGTGTTGTGTTTTTTTAGCCATAAGGAAACCTCAAGCCAGTGGCAACAACAACCCTTTACTTAGTTGTGGCTCAGAATTATTTTAATATTGAAATTGCAGATGCCAATGAATAACCACTTTAATGCTACAGTGGGGATTCAGATTCAGTCCTAAGGCATATTAAATAGTAATCTATAACCAGTACCCCAAGCCAGTAGTAACAATATTAAAAATATACATATATAAATAATTGTTACTAAGTTGTGTAGTAAATAGTTCACATCCAGTTGGTAAGTGTAATGGCAGTAGTTTTTCATACTAATGATTTTTTTTCTGTAAGTTTTTTTTTTTTTTTTTTTTTTTTTTTTTACTCTATTGAGTGCCTATCTATAAAAATGTGAATTTATGCTATTTGTGATGCAATACATAAAATGCAAGAGGCATTCACATGTTGATATGCAATAAGTTTGTCCATTATTATTATTATTATAAAAAGAAGCGCTAAGCCACAAGGACTATACAGCGCTGCAGGGCAGGAAGGAAGCGAGGGCATCAGGTGGCAAAAGGGAGATGGATGAGTAATAGGTTACGGATAACAGCGGGGCAATGGATGGTGAAAGGGTAAAGGGCAGCAAGAGACTGAACTAGAAAGGGCTGAGGGGAGTGCGAAAAGTATCATCAGAGTTTGTGGAGTAAATCAGTCGTTGTCAAGAAGTCAATGAGAGAGTCAGGATTAAAGGAGGGTCCATCAGCAAGAAGGGAAGGTAAAGAGAGAGTAGTAGAACGAAGACAGCGTTGGAGGTAAATTCTGCGTGCTCGTTGATAGAGAGGGCAGTCTAACAGAATGTGGCTAATCGATACTGGAACTTGACACTGCTCACAGAGAGGTACAGGGTGCCTCTCTATGAGATACTCATGAGTAAGACGAGTGTGGCCAATGCGAAGGCGGGAGAGAGTGGTCTCCCAACCTCGACACTGATGACAAGAAGACGGCCAGTAACCTATGCTCGGTTTAATAGAATGAAGTTTGTTACCGAGCAGAGTTGACCAACGTTGTTGCCAACGGGTGCGAAGGTGGGTAGCTATTGCAGCAAAATAGTCCAGAAATGGAACACCTCTATAGGAAATTGGTAGGTCATGTACTGCTGACCGCGCAGCAGTGTCTGCCTGTTCATTGCCCTGTACGTCGACATGACCAGGGACCCAACAAAAAACAATATGTTTGGTAGAGATACGGCGTAGCCAAAGTTGGATATGGAGAACTAGGGGGCGAGATGTATCAAATTTTCGTATAGCCTGTAGAGCACTAAGGGAGTCTGAGACTACCACAAATGATGACACAGGCATAGATGCGATACGAATAATTGCTGCAAGAATGGCCTACAATTCAGCAGTAAAAATGCTAGCCGAAGATAGTAAATGCCCCCGCACGACACTGTCCGGAAACACTGCTGCGAATCCGACGCCATCTGAAGACTTAGAGCGATCTGCGTACACAGCGATGGCATGAGAATGAGAGTGGAAGTGATCAAGAAAAAGAGAGCGGGAAGCCACCGTAGGCAGTTGGGCTTTCGAGCAAGGGAGTGAGAAAGAACAGACCCGAACAGCTGGAACTTCCCAGGGGGGTAGGGAAAAGTGAGATGCTACATGAACATATAAAGGTTGTAACTGAAGGGAAGGCAAGAGCGAATGTAGGCGAAGAGAAAAGGGATGGAGAAAACAGGGGCGGCGAACAAATAAAGAATGACTACTAATATCATTGACCATTCTATAAATGGAAGGATTGTGGCGATCGTGAGAGCGTACATAGTAGCGAAGGCAATGGGCATCACGGCGATCAGACAAGGATGGAACATTCGCTTCTGTATAGAGGCTCTCAACAGGGGAAGAGCGAAAAGCACCAAGGCACAAACGTAATCCTTGGTGATGGATAGAGTTAAGGCTAGAGAGAGTAGCAGGAGAGGCCGCGGAATAAATCTGGTCACCATAATCGAGTTTCGATAAAACGAGGGCTGAATGTAGGCGAAGCAGAGTTCGACGATCAGCTCCCCAGGAAAGATGAGCAAGGGTTTTAAGAAGGTTTAGCCGGCTGTGACAAGTTGCCTTCAGAGAGGTAATGTGAGGTTTCCAGGATAACCTACGGTCAAAGAGAAGGCCTAGAAACCTGACTGTATCGCGTTCGGGGATACGGGAGCCATAGAGATACAAAGGATGATCGGAGATGACAGAGCGTCTAGTGAAAGTAATTTGGTGAGTTTCGGTACTTGAAAATTTAAACCCATGCGTGGTGGCCCAAGTGGAAACACGGTCGACCGCATGCTGTAGAGAAACTGCAATGAGATGACAGTCAGCGCCTGCACAAGCAATAGCGAAGTCATCAACATAGAGTGATGACCAAATATTGGGTGGAAGAACAGAGGTCAAATCATTTATAGCAAGGAGAAAAAGTGTTGGGCTTAGAACACATCCCTGAGGGACACCTTCAGCTTGGACGAAGTCCGGGGAAAGAACATTATTGACTCGAACACAGTAATGTCTGTCAGTTAAAAAGTTCTTAAGGAAGGATGGTAGATTGCCTCGGAGGCCTAAGGAGTGGGCCTGGGCCAAAATATTATACCTCCAAGTTGTGTCATATGCCTTCTCAAGGTCAAAAAATATGGCAATAACTGAGTGATTATTCACAAAGGCATTACGAACATACGTATCCAAGCGTAGTGAGGGGTCTATGGTAGAACGGCCCTTATGAAAGCCATATTGACTAGTGGAGAGACTGTTGTGTGTCTCTAAATACCACATTAAACGTCGATTTACGAGACGTTCCATCACTTTGCAAACTGCACTAGTAAGAGCGATGGGACGATAGTGGGAGGCATCATGTCCTGTAGTACCTGGTTTGCGGAAAGGGAGAACAATGGCAGATTTCCACAGCTGGGGAAGAACTCCTTGTGCCCAAATAAGATTGAAGAGGTGTAAGAGGACTACAAGGGCTGACTGATGTAAATGTTGTAACATACGAGTATGAATGTCGTCAGGCCCAGCTGCCGATGATCGGCAAGCTGAGAGCGTTGCCTCCAGTTCTTGAAGTGTAAAAGGCACATTATACTGTTCTTCTCTGAGAGAAGAAAAGTCCAAGGGTACTAACTCTCTGGCAGACTTTGAGGAAAGAAACGAGGGGCATAGATGGAGCCCCCGGGAAATACGGACCAGGTGTGTGCCAAGTTCAATGGCAACGTCGAGAGGGTTTGCTACATCAACACCAGCGACCCGTCGAACAGGAGCCGGGTCAGGAGAGTATTTACCACTCAATTTCCTCACTTTTTTTTCCAGACTGCACTCAGAAGAAGCAGAGGTGATGGTGGAAACATAGTCTCGCCAGCAAGTGCGTTTAGCTTCACGGATGACACGGCGAGCGATCTCACGCTTCTGCTTAAAATCAAGAAGTCTCTCAGCGGTTCTATTGTACCAGTACCTGCTCCATGCAGCGCGTTTCAAACGTACTGCACGAGCACAAGCAGGAGACCATCAAGGCACGCACTTCTGAGAATGCCTGCCTGAGGTTTGGGGTATAGAATGAGAAGCTGCGGTATAAACTGACGTCGAGAAGAGGTGTAGGAGCTCATCAATGGAGGATGAAGAAGGAACCTCACTAAAAGCAGTGAGCTGCAAGTAAAGATCCCAATTTGCCCGATCAAATTGCCAGTGAGGGCTACGGAAAGGTAGTGAATAGGAAGGAGAAGTAAGAATGATTGGAAAATGATTGCTGTCATGTAAGTCCGGTAGAACAGACCAGGTGAAGTCTAGTGCAGTGGAGGAAGAGCAGACTGATAGATCTATGCAAGAGAGAGTATGAGTACGAGGATCAAAATGGGTGGGAGTACCCGTATTTAAAACATGGAGGGAGTGAGAGGCGAGAAAAGCCTCCAACTGGATGCCACGTGAGTCACAATGAGACCCCCCCCCCCAGAGGAAATGGTGGGCATTAAAATCACCAAGTAATAGAAGTGGTGGTGGTAAGGATGAAACAAGAAAGGCAAAGTCTGGGATAGAAAATGCTCAAGAAGGAGAGAGATATAAAGAACATATTGTAAACCACTTATTCAAGTGGATATGGGCTGCAGTGTAATGCAGCGAGGTATGGACAAATAGTTGACAGTACGGAACATCATTGCGTAGAAGAAGGGCACTTTCATTAAAGGTCCCATCTGAGAAAGGATCCGAAGAATACAATAAATTACAGCCTGAGATAGGTTGGAAAACAGCCGAGTGTAATTTTGGTTTTTGTAAGCAAGCACCAACAGGGGATTATTATTATAATCAAAAAGAAGCGCTAAGCCACAAGGACTATACAGCGCTGCAGGGCAGGAAGGAAGCGAGGGCATCAGGTGGCAAAAGGGAGATGGATGAGTAATAGGTTACGGATAACAGCGGGGCAGTGGATGGTGAAAGGGTAAAGGGCAGCAAGAGACTGAACCAGAAAGGGCTGAGGGGAGTGCGAAAAGTACCAACAGGGGAAAACCTGGAAAGCAACATCTGAAGCTCACCCCGATTACCCCTGAGGCCGCGGATATTCCACTGTAAATAGGCCATGATTGGCGATGAAGAAAATACCAGGAATCTGTAGGGAAAGGCACCTACGGACTAGAGGGGTTAGAAAAGTCAACGTTTGGTGGCATTGGAAGACGTTCAAGCAGCGAAGGAGCGGAGCGTTGCGAAGAATGGGGTTCTGAAGATGGAGGAGAGGGAAGGGAAGGAACAGGAAGTGAATCAGTGTCCATTGAAGGTTTGGTCTGCAATATATTCTGAAATGGCTTCAAGTGTTTCTGAATTCAAAGATGTATGGGAGACCATAATTTGGAGATAGAAGGGGAGGGTTGAGTAAGCTTGGGACAGTAATGGACTGGGCCAAAGTAGAGGGGAAGGAAAGAGTTTAAGGGACGGAGATGAAGTGGGGGGGACAGAAAAGGCAGAAACCTGGGGGGTGGCAGAAGAGGGAGAAACTTGGGAGGGGACGGGGGTGAAGGCATAGTATGAGGAGGAGGTGAATCTCCACACTTGTAATAGAGCCAGAGAAGGGGGGAAAAACTAGGCACAGAGACTGGAAAGGTAAAGTGTGGAGGTGGAAGAAGGGAAGGAAGGGGCAAAGAAGATTTTGAGCAATGTGGATTTTTTGGACTCTGAAAGTAGAGGGGCGATTGGTATTAGGTGTCGTACGAGATCTGTCGAACTGGGGCTTGTGGGGAAAGGGACGCAAGATGTGAGAAAAACTGAGTTTGTAGTGGGGGCATCAACCCAAGGACGAAAAAGGATTAGATGCCGGAGTGGCTATGGAGGGGTAAAAACAGAGGAGTCAGAAGATGGGCCCCCGAAGGGGGGGGATTTTTTTAAAACACGAGAATAAGAAAACGGGGGTAGTCTCCCTTTGGAGGGGGAATGATAACGCCATACAAAAGGGGAACCTTTGCCTTTTTAGGCAATGGATTTCACTTCATTTAAGTAGCCTGGCAACGGGGGAGAAAAACAAGGGTGAGCTTCTTACAATTAAGGCAAGATGGGGGTTGACTGCAAGATGTTTTAGAATGGTCGTCGGCACCCAACGGGCATTGGGCCTAGATCTGAATATTTGCGGGGTGACCAAAACCCCAGAAATTTATTTGTTGCGGTTAGGTTCCCCTTTTCGAACTTGTAACCGATGCCCATGACTATACAAGGGGAGGGGAGTTCTCCTGTAAAAAGTTAAAGAGCTACTTGCGGGGTTAAACGCTCTGCCCAGGGCAAAAGGAATAAGTGTCTTTTTGGGGATTGGGAACCCGGGTTCCATCTTTTTAAAAATGTCATTCCCCAAAGACTTTAAATTTTTTGGACTATGGTATGGGGCAGAATGACAGAAACACTACAAAAATTTGAGGAAAGATTTTTTTTTCAATAGGTGGGAAAGTAGTGTCTATATGCGAAACGAGAGAAAGTCTGACTTGGTACATTCTGGGCAGTGCGATGCCGACCGCTCTTGAGAGCTGAAATGAAATATCCTACCAACAGACGCAGGGGCGCTTTGCCAATACATGGTCAGAAAAGGGAGGGAGAAGAAGAATCGGGCTTAAAGTAAAGAATTTATCCATTTTGTGTCTGAAACGAGCGTGGAGAGGGGGTGCATGACGTGCAGTCTTTTTCCGAGTAAAGGGAAGGTAAACGAAGGAGCATCATCAGGGATGCGTTGGGGTTTAGGAGTAGGAAGGAGTTGGTCCGGGGGAAATGGGGAGGCGTTTTTGAAAAATTTCCGTACCCCGGAGGGGGAAGCCGGAAGCATAATCAAAGGAGAGCGGAGTTCAGACAAATCGAAGGAGTCAGTCGAAGCCCCGGTACCTGAAGCGTGTGAGGAAACAGCACCAGCAAGAGGTACAGAGGCATCAGGAGTGTCCGAAGAGTGGTCTAAAAACAAGGCAGGGTCAGAATGGGGTGCGGTATCAAGAAGGGGCCCGGGGGTAGTGGGTTCATGGATTGGGTTCTCCATGGTTAGGTTACTCCTTTGCTTTTTGTTTTTAAGAAAAAAAAAAGAAAGAAGAAAATAAAATAAAAAAAAGAATAAAAAAGGGGGGGAGCGGGGAGGAATAGTTCTCAGGAGGAATGAAAGGGCCGGAAATCTCCCTCCTCGCCCAAGAGGACCTCAGCACCGCTAGTAGCGCAGATGCAGCATGGAACCCATGCCATACCCTACCCTTCATGCCAGTAAACCAGCAGTCCGGCATAGCAACCTCACATCTGCCGAGCTACCTCGGTGGACAAAAGAGAGGGCGGCCGGATATCCACCACAAAGCATACCTCCTTCGGCCACCACCCCCGGAATCCGAAAGGTGGCTTCCAGAGATACACCCGTCACACGAAAGACACCCAAAGCTACTCCGGGATACCGGAGAGGGATCGGGACATCTCCAGGCGATCCAGATTCCATGGCAAACTACGCCACCGCCAAGAACCTCAACAGAATGGGATGGACCCTGGTATCCTTTCCCCTACCTAGGAACTAGCACGCCTGTGGGAGAAATCCCAAAGGCCAAAAGAGGAAGGGCAAAAGGTAGGGGTGGGGAGGAGGAGGAGGAAAGGAAAAAGGGGAGGATGGGATAGGGGAGGGGAGATTGGGGGGTAATTAGGTTCGGTCTGAGGAAGAAGACCGACAGGTCTAATTCCTCAGACCAAGAGCCTCTTCACCACACCAAGGAGCCCCCCTTGAAGAGGATAAGTTTGTCCAGAATTGAGGAAAAATTTTTTTTTTACTTCTCTAGGGGCTCCATCCCCTCAAGGGAAGTTCCTTGATTCTGATGAGGGACTCTTGATCTGGAGAACTGAACTTGTCTACCTCCCCTTTCCCTCTTCCTTGGATTAAACCTGATTGCCTCCTATATCCCAGGTGTTGTATGATCCCTATGGATTTATACAAGCTTCCCTTTAAATAATAACTTCTAAGGAGGTTAATCATACCAGAAATTATAATTAACTTTGTTTCCAACCTTTCTCATTTCAGGCCGTGATGATATGCAGATGTGTGAACTCAGCCTGGATGAGACAGGATTAACAAGGAAGCGTGGTGCAGAAATCCTCGAGCATGAATATGAGAAAGAATGGAATCGCCATGGTGGAAAACCTTATGAGGGATCAGTTGGCAGGAAACGTTAATAATTTAGATGTGTGGATTTTCTCTTTAAAGATGTCATTGAATTATGACTCTTTATATTTTTATAATTACAGTTAAAATGTGAGAGGGTATTAAAACAATAAATTTATGAAAATATAAATACAGTGCCTGCATCTTAACAGATGGTATAAAGGTCTAGAGTACGAGTTTCTTTGAGGGCACTGATTATAATAAAGCTATATTTCACAAGTGCTGTATTGCCTACATCAAGGTAAAGAAAAAATTGGTACAGTATTCCCAGTGTGCTCTAAAGAAAAAGATTAAAATAGTTTACCTTAGAAATTTAACAGCTCTATGAATACTGAAGCATGTTACTGCAGCTATAAAACAAATATACATGTACGTATAAAGATTTTTTTTTTTTCACTTCTGTATACCTATGTCATATATTTATGCACTAAGAATAATGGGCTTTTAGAAAAGAGATTGTGATTTATCAGGGAAAATTATTTTAATATCAAGGACTTTAATTTAAAAAGACTATATTTTTTATTGTAAACAAGTTAGGCTTTTAAGGTGCTCTCATGACGTTATCACCAGTGATGGTGCCCAGATTTAAACTGCCTGTATTGCCTTCAAAGTTGAACCTTATTTATAGTACATCTGCTAGGATATTTTTGCAGTCAAGTCAATTTTCCAGCAAAATATTTCTTCTAGTTATGAGTAAGGAAGATTAACATTTACACAGACTAGTTGATATTGCCTAAGGAGGAATTTGTCTTATTGCTCATGTAAATGAATTAAAAAATAATTGCAACATATTCTGCATGGGAAATGGTGTGACCAATTTTGTTGTTTATATCCTGAACAGTGAATAATGTTTTGTCATGTTTCAAAAGGTATTTAACAATGATCAGGTGTTAATGCCAATTCAGGAATAACTGAAAATGTGTCAGTACTGACACAAAATGTCAAACTCATTCTTAAGAAGGAAACATTAGTAGATAAGCGAGTAATCAGTTTATTAATACAGTATGGAGGGGCATTATATGTCGTGGCGTCTAATCAATAAATTTGGTTGTAATAATTCACGAACTTCAAACAGTGATTATGTATCAGTGATGGTATTATCAATTACTGTGTAACAAGTTAATTATTGCTGTAATTTTTCTATGAAAGTTTTTATGTAGTAAATGTTTGTGATGTTAAGATTTGTAATGTTTGGGATGGTGCAGCTAAGTTCATACATTGTGATATATTATGGAGAGTAGATATGCTTGACAGCTGTTGTTGCTTGGGGCAAACTCTTATTTCCTTGATTTCGGATTTGGCACATTATTATATCATGAAGGGTAAATATTTTTTTCTTTATTCAGTATAAGAAAAACATTTAGCTATTGGGATGTAATTATAAAAACTAAATGTCCTTCAGCAACAGAATTACAGTAAAATGTTATGTCTTAGCTCATTTTCAAGGAGATAGGGATGGGTTGTCACGTATTCTTATAGTTCACACTGATTATTTTTGCTTACAGAATTGCAATGTATTCCTCTAAAAACAAGAGAACCTATGTAATTTTCTATTGATCCAAGGAAGAGCATTTGTAAATTAACCAAAGTATAAAGTTATATATACAGTAATTTGTTTTAATGTTCTTGACTTTGAAAAAAAAACTGTCAGCAGATTGTTTCATCGCCTTGATAGTTACCATAGAATCTGACCTATATCCCTCAAGGGAGGTGCCTAATGCCACTGAGGCACTTTTTTTTTTTTTATCCAAGAAATGGAACCTGTCCTTCCTTTGAATGGAATAGATTGCCTCTCATTCTCCAGGCACTACACGACCCCATTGGGTTTAGTACTTCCCCATAATAAATTTGATATAAATAAACTACAGCTTTTTAAAAAAATATAGGATCTTTGATATGAAAGATGTTATATCAGTTATTGAAGACTCCATGTAACAGGAGAAAATATCTTGTTTTATATACAATGTGTAAATTGTTAATGAACTCTTTCGCTAATTTTTTATGCTGTATGTGTGTGCATGCTGTGCTTTAGTCAGAATGTGCAGATTTTGCTCTTATTTGGTATCAATGTTTTCCAACAGGCCAAGCATGTCTTAACTTATGCTGCTAGTGTGAAATCTTGCAGAACACAAAACTAATGTATCTGACTGATGTTAAATTCTATCAAAAGTTAATTTAACCTTAGACAGGTTAGGTAAATTCAAGGTATATTACATGTAAATGCTGTCAAAAGTTAGATTAAGTTTATTCTGGTGCAGAATTTTGTAGTCTTTGCAAACTCATGAATGTCAGTAAGAAAACATGTATAGCTTCAATTTATTTTAAGAAAATTTGACAGTTGCTTTTGCCAAAAAGTGCATATGTAGTGTTTGTGGAAAAAACTGAGGATCTGCTGTATACATACATTTTGGGCTTGTGTATGTAGAACTAAGTCATTCCACTGTTTGATACATTATTTAATTTCTCTTTCCTTAACTCAAAGCTATTCTTCCTGTTTGTCTGCTTAACAAAATTTTACCTAGATCATGTAAACTGCATCCATTTTGCTGGTTACATCTGTACGGTCATTCCTTTCTTATTAAAGTTACTCTGATGCATTTTATATTCTTCAGAATTGTTAAATCTAAATTTGAGTGAGTGCATAAAAATAACAATTTTGAATCCTCATAGTGCTGTACGTGTTAAAATTGGCTCAATATAGACTACATTTTACTATATAGTGGTACCTTGGTATACATACATCCTTAATCCATTCCAGGACCTTGGACTTATACCAAACAGGGTGTATACTAAATGAATTTTCCCATAAATACAGTATAGGGAAAACGATTAATCCGTTCTCATGAAAAAAAATCCTATTGTTATTGGCATATTATACATTGATGGGGTTGTATAAAATAATTTAGACACTGCTTAATACTAAAATACATACATAAATACAAGAGAATTAAATGAAATAAATGCAAATTTAACCTCGCTTTACTTTGCTGGAAAGAGTAGAGTGCCTACTAGGATAATGCTGAGAAGGGAGGAGGAGGAAATGTTATTGTTTGGAAGGAGAGTCCCCTTCTCTCTTGTCCTCTTTTTACCTATTTGGAACTGGTTGAAGCTCACCAGGTTTGACTTTTACTAAAAATCTAGATACCATTGTTCTTGCCATACAGTATGCAGCAGCCAAATCCCTGATACATGTGCCACCTTCATATTTTTCAACAATCTCTTTTTTTTTTTTTCTCCTCCATGGTGATCCTAACCATTTTCTAAGTAAAAATTTATACAAAAAAAAAACACAATCACATAAAAATTCAGTGTTACAGCACAGGTTGTTCACTGAATGGTAGCAACGGGCGTACTGATGATAGTGGGCAGTCGTGGCTTTGTCTCAAGAGGTACACAAGGGTAGCATGCGGTGTCGTGACTCATTTTGACCCATACAAGTTCTAGCACGTGAATCATGTTCCAAACAAAGGTCATATACCAAGCAAATATTTTCGCGTCCAAACAGGATGTATACCAAGTTGGACTTATTCCAAAGCGGACATATACTGAGGTACCACTGTATGTGCTTCATATTGATTTTCTAACTAATTTGGAATAACTGAGTTATCTAACCTCAGTTTGTGAACACTTGGCATAATCTCTGATTCCTATGGGTTATGGAGCAGGTTAACAAGTTCATTGTAGCTTAAGACCTGTATTGTTGTGATTGACTTGCAGCTACAGACATTTTGCTAAATATGTTTATGAATATTCTTCTATACATGAAAAATTGTGCATGTATAATTTTTTTTTGCAAGTTACTTACTTTGTGTCATCTTGTTAAATATTTTTGAAAGAGAAGCCTATTGTATGATATTGTACATTATTTTAATTTACAATATTTATAAATTATTGTATTCGTATTTTGTGTACGTATATGAATACATTAGAAGTCTTTCATTATGAACATACCTTCAGTAAAAAAGTAAATAATTCATAAATAGCAATGATTGGTAAAGAAAATTCTAGTATAATCACCTGAAATTGCAGAATGTTTAGATACTGTAGTATAAATGTGTATGAAATGCTATATATCCAGATATAAATAAAATAGAAGTAATTACATTTTGTTTTAATTTGTCCTACTTTTTACAGAATTGAATACATATTTTTATGCACTCAGAGTAAGTTGTAATAACTCAGCCATTTAAAAAAAAAAAGCATACAGTTCCTCTTGAGTGTAGACCCCTTTCCATGTTTGGGGGAATTACGGTCTATTAATGCCACCTTGATAAGTCTTTTACATACCTGGTGGGGCTGGGCTCCCTCACAGTGACCCTGACATGTAAGGACCAAACTAAACACTGCCCTGTGTTTGCTCTGCACAGTAACCCATCAACTTGTCTGTTTCCCTGGAAGATGAGCCTGCCTATGGAATGTGGCCCTTAAGTAGGCAACTTGCTTCTTTGTATTAATTTTTTTATTATTTTTATTAACACATCGGCCAATTCCCACCAAGACAGTTTCTCTTTTTTGAGCCACCCTTTCATCATTCATTCCATCACTGTCTTGCCAGAGGGGTGCTTTATACTACAGTTATAAAACTGCTTGCTGGAAGTCCAAGACCCTCGGACACAAAACCCTCCTTTACCCCCTCCCTCCAACCCTTCCTAGGCTGACTCCTACCCCGCCTTCCCTCCACTACAGATTTATACACTCAGTCATTCTGTTTTGTTCCATTCTCTACATGTCCAAACCCCCCTCAACAACCCCTCCTCAGCCCTCTGGATAATAGTTTTGGTCATCCTGCACCTTCTAATTTCCAAATTCCTCTTCAAGGGGGGCTCCTTGCTGTGGTGAAGAGGCTCTTGGTCTGAGGAATCAGACCTGTCGGTCTCCTTCCTCAGACTGAACCTAATTACCCCCCAATCCTCCCCTCCCTATCCCATCCTCCCCTTTTTCCTTTCCTCCTCCTCCTCCCCACCCCTCCCTTTTGCCCTTCCTCTTTTTGGCCTTTGGGATTTCTCCCACAGGCGCGCTAGTTCCTAGGTAGGGGAAAGGATACCGGGGTCCATCCCATTCCGTTGAGGTTCTTGGCGGTGGCATAGTTTGCCGTGGAATCTGGATCGCCTGGGGATGTCCCGATCCCTCTCCAGTACCCCGGAGTAGCTTTGGGTGTCTTTCGGGCGACGGGTGTATCTCTGGAAGCCACCTTTCGGATTCCGGGGGTGGTGGCCGAAGGAGGTATGCTTTGTGGCGGATATCCGGCCGCCCTCTCTTTTGTCCACCGAGGTAGCTCGGCAGATGTGAGGTTGCTATCCCGGATTGCTGGTTTACTGGCATGAAGGGTAGGGTATGGCACGGGTTCCATGCTGCATCTGCGCTACTAGCGGTGCTGAGGTCCTCTTGGGTGTGGAGGGAGATTTCCGGCCCTTTCATTCCTCCCCGCTCCCCCCTTTTTTTATTCTTTTTTTTATTTTTATTTTCTTTTCTTCTTTTTTTTCTTAAAAACAAAAAGCAAAGGAGTAACCTAACCATGGAGAACCCAATCCATGAACCCACTACCCCCGGGCCCCTTCTTGATACTGCACCCCATTCTGACCCTGCCTTGTTTTTAGACCACTCTTCGGACACTCCTGATGCCCCTGTACCTCTTGCTGGTGCTGTTTCCTCACCTGCTTCAGGTATCGGGGCTTCGACTGACTCCTTCGATTTGTCTGAACTCCGCTCTCCTTTGACTATGCTTCCGGCTTCTCCCTCTACGGTACGGCAATTTTCGAATCGCCTGCCCATTTCACACCGGACCAACTCCGGTCCTACTCCTAAACGCCAACGTCAATCTCCTGATGATGCTCCTTCGTTACCTTCCCATTCTACTCGGAAAAGACCGACACGTCATGCACTCCCTCTCCACGCTCAGTTTCAGACCACACAATGGACTGAATCTTTACTTAAGACCGACTTCTTCTTCTGCCTACCTTTCTGACCATAGTATTGGCAAAGCGCTCCTGCGTCATTTGGTAGAGATATTTCATTTCATGCTATCAAGAGCGGTACGTGCATCGTCACTGTCCAGAATGCTACCCAAGCTCATGATCTTTCTCTCCTTTCGAATATCGATACTACTCCTATCACTATTGAAAAACATCTTTCTCTCAATTCTTGTAGTGGTACTGTAATTCTGCCCCATACCATAGTCCAACAGAATTTCCAGTCATGTGGCAATGACATTCTTGAACAGCTGGAACTCCAGGATCTCCCAATCCTCAAAGTAGACACTTATGTCCTTCCTGCCCGTGGGCGGAGACGTTACCCTTGCAATGTGGCTCGTTTAACTTTTGACAGCTGAGAACTCCCGTCCTCTGTATATGTCGCGCGACATCGGTTACAAGTTCGAAAGGTGATACCTACACCACAACAGTGTAGAAATTGCTGGCGTTTTGGTCACCCAGCGAGATATTGCAGATCTATGGCCGAATGCCCAGTCTGTGGTGCCGACAACCATTCTAATACATCTTGCAGTCAACCTCCATCTTGCCTTAATTGTAATGAAGCTCACCCTTCGTACTCCCGCCGTTGCCAGGTCTACTTAAATGAACGTGAAATCCGTTGCCTCAAAGAGGCAGAAGGTCTCCCTTATGCTATGGCAGTTACTCATCTCCGCCTCCAAGGGAGACTACCCCGTGTTTCTTATTCTCGTGTTTCAAAACATCCCCCCACTTCTGGGGTCCCATCTTCTGCAGCCTCCTCTGTTGTTACCCCTCCCATAGCCACTCCGGCATCTAATCCTTTTGCTGTCCTTGGCTCTGATGTCCCAACTACAACTCAGTCTGTTCTCACATCTTCGCGTCCTTCCTCACAAGCCCCAGTATCGACAAGACCTCGTACGACACCTAATACCAATCGCCCCTCTACTTCTCAGAAGTCCAAAAAATCCACATTGCTCAAATCTTCTTTGCCCCTTCCTTCCCTTCTTCCCCTCCACACTTTACTTTCCAGTCTCTGTGCCTAGTTCTTCCCCTCTCTCTGGCTCTATTACAAGTGTGGAGATTCACCTCCTCCTCGTACTATGCCTTCCACCCCATCCCCTCCCAAGTTTCTCCCTCTTCTGCCACCTCCCAGGTTTCTGCCTCTTCCGTCCCCCCCCCCCCACACTTCATCTCCAGTCCCTTACACTCTTTCCTCCCCCTCTACTTTGGTACAGTCCATTACTGTCCCAGTCTTTACTCACCCTCCCCCTTCTATCTCCAATATGGTCTCCCATACATCTTTGAATTCAGAAACACTTGAAGCCATTTCAGAATATATTGCAGAGACTAAACCTTCAATGGACACTGATTCACTTCCTGTTCCTTCTCTTCCCTCTCCTCCATCTTCAGAACCCCATTCTTCGCAACGCTCCATTCCTTCGCTGCTTGAACGTCTTCCAATGCCACCACACGTTGACTTTTCTAACCCCTCTAGTCCGTAGGTGCCTTTCCCTACGGATTCCTGGTATTTTCTTCATCGCCAATCATGGCCTATTTACAGTGGAATATCCGCAGCCTCAGGGGTAATCGGGGTGAGCTTCAGATGTTGCTTTCCAGGTTTTCCCCTGTTGGTGCTTGCTTACAAGAACCAAAATTACACTCGGCTGTTTTCCAACCTATCTCAGGCTATAATTTATTGTATTCTTCGGATCCTTTCTCAGATGGGACCTTTAATGAAAGTGCCCTTCTTCTACGCAATGATATTCCGTACTGTCAACTATTTGTCCATACCTCGCTGCATTACACTGCAGCCCGTATCCACTTGAATAAGTGGTTTACAATATGTTCTTTATATCTCTCTCCTTCTCTAGCATTTTCTATCCCAGACTTTGCCTTTCTTGTTTCATCCTTACCACCACCACTTCTGTTACTTGGTGATTTTAATGCCCACCATTTCCTCTTGGGAGGTCTCATTGTGACTCACGTGGCGTCCAGTTGGAGGCTTTTCTCGCCTCTCACCCCCTCCATCTTTTAAATATGGGTACTCCCACCCATTTTGATCCTCGTACTCATACTCTCTCTTGCATCGATCTATCGGTCTGCTCTTCCTCCACTGCACTAGACTTCACCTGGTCTGTTCTACCGGACTTACATGACAGCGATCATTTTCCAATCATTCTTACTTCTCCTTCCTATTCACCACCTTTCCGTAGCCCTCGCTGGCAATTTGATCGGGCAAATTGGGATCTTTACTCACACCTCACTGCTTTTAGTGAGGTTCCTTCTTCATCCTCCATTGATGAGCTCCTGCACATCTTCTCGACGTCAGTTTATACTGCAGCTTCTCATTCTATACCCCAAACCTCAGGCAGGCATTCTCAGAAGTGCGTGCCTTGGTGGTCTCCTGCTTGTGCTCGTGCAGTACGTTTGAAACGCGCTGCATGGGGCAGGTACCGGTACAATAGAACCGCTGAGAGACTTCTTGATTTTAAGCAGAAGCGTGCGATCGCTCGCCGTGTCATCCGTGAAGCTAAACGCACTTGTTGGCGAGACTATGTTTCCACCATCACCTCTGCTTCTTCTGAGTGCAGTCTGGAAAAAAGTGAGGAAATTGAGTGGTAAATACTCTCCTGACCCAGCTCCTGTTCTACGGGTTGCTGGTGTTGATGTAGCAAACCCTCTCGATGTTGCCATTGAACTTGGCACACATCTGGTCCGTATTTCCCGGGGGCTCCATCTATGCCCCTCGTTTCTTTCCTCAAAGTCTGCCAGAGAGTTAGTACCCTTGGACTTTTCTTCTCTCAGAGAAGAACAGTATAATGTACCTTTTACACTTCAAGAACTGGAGGCAACGCTCTCAGCTTGCCGATCATCGGCAGCTGGGCCTGACGACATTCATATTCGTATGTTACAACATTTACATCGGTCAGCCCTTGTAGTCCTCTTACACCTCTTCAATCTTATTTGGGCACAAGGAGTTCTTCCCCAGCTGTGGAAATCTGCCATTGTTCTCCCTTTCCGCAAACCAGGTACTACAGGACATGATGCCTCCCATTATCGTCCCATCGCTCTTACTAGTGCAGTCTGCAAAGTGATGGAACGTCTCGTAAATCGACATTTAATGTGGTATTTAGAGACAACACAACAGTCATCT